TATATATATATATATATATATATATATATATATAATATTAAAATAAATTGAACTTCTCTTTTAAGTTAAAACCAACTTATACATCTAATTTTAATTTATCAGGGAAGTTCAATTCAATCATGTTACTTTCATATTTTTATCTCAATTATGTAGTTTAGCCGTTTACAGCATGCATAACCGAGCTTCAAAACAAACATATATATTGACGAACTTCAACTTCTTATATATATCAATGTTGTTACATTACCATTGAATTGAATACTTCTGTGACCAAAAACGTAACGAAGCGATGAATAATTTGTACCAGAGTAAGTGGAAATTTTTGAACCGAATTTAATTGACAACAGTGGCATACCTGATTTGATAATTTGGCATGCCACAATAATGTGATAAAGTATATTTGAGTTCTGATGTGTTTGAAAAACTCAATTTAATTATTATTTAGGTTTATAGTAATTTATTCCCTGATAATGATATGGGTGCATGGCTTTCCGCTTTACAGTTTCCTTGAGTCAAAGTATTTCAAGTCAAGGCTTACCTTTTGTGGAAGGACAACTTTTGGGGGGAGTTATTCACATGCTAAATCACCAAACAGAAGATATATTTTTGGGCCATCTTATAAGCAAACAATATCTACTAATTGAAGTTAGAATCTTCCTGAGAGGTAAAGGTCGTGCTGTCATAAGTAGTAATACATTGGCATTTAGTTGTATATAGAACCCTTTGATACCATGCTTTTTTCGTTAGGGTCAAAATTTATAACACTTGTTCATTCCTTTTTGCTTCTTGACTTGACTAGTATCGTACAGGCTTTGTTAACACTTACATCCCTATCTTTAGGTTGGTTTTAAGAAGAGAAATTACATTTAGTGTTGGAAACCAGAGGTTGACATTCGTCTCCATATTAATATGAATATTGTTTGCTTTAATTAGATTTATAAACTCGTGTGAATTTATTATTGATTATCATCCAAAATGTACCATATTAATGGAGGTATTTATATGCTTCTGAATCCATGTTTCTCCTTTTGTTTTGACAATAAGGGATATTATTTGTTTCCTTAAAATACTCCCTCAAACAAATTAAAGAACATGGTTTAATCTCTTCTTTAACGGAAGTCATCTTTCTAGTTCACGAGTATTTAATGGCAGTTTCTTGAGTTTAGTCATCACTGTCGATAAGTTCTAAATACTTGCATCATTGTTAACTCACATTAACGACACACATTATCTAACAAATCACATCAATGGTACATGTCGCCTGACTTCCACACTATTAGAAAAGTTTTCAACACAAATCATCTTCAAACATGGATGTATTGCCTCCATTACCCAATCCTTTTCTCTTCTCTCTCTATGTTTGTTTTGTTCTCTTTCAATGACAAGTCTCTCTTTTTTTCCTAATTTGACCTGTCTCCACTTGGTTAGGTGAGATACAACGGACTCAAAGATTTGAACCTATCTTTCACATATCCCAAAACCCATCAACCAACCACCTTAGGGTGGAAGGAGGAAGAGATAGAAAGTGTAAAAAATGTTAGTGAGTGTTGTTAGCATTTTTCTAGCTAGATGTAATCATGATTTTAAATTGTCATCCACAATCGCAACATAAATAATTTTTGACTCACAATTGCTTCGTGATCACAATTGTGATTGCATTAGCCACATTTTTTTTTTCACAATGTAAAGGATTACACACAACTACAATTGTGACGACAACAAAAATATAAGATTATGGATGTAACACTACAAAAAACTTGACTTCTAGAGATGGACAAAAACTGTCACTAAAAGTTAAAAAAGTGTTGGTATAACTCATTTATACATTGACCCACAGACATTTTATCTGTCCATTATGAGAGTCCTATAACAACAACTATCGTTTGTCTCTATAGAATTTTTAGCTGTCACTATAGCCTTAATTTTGATTTATTGTATTTGGTTCATTGCCTGTAGGTAAAAGTTGTTGATATGTACTTACAATTCCTAGCTGTAGGTAATTTGTTTATTATTTTAAAAGATTATTTTATACCTACAATCTCTATTTATCATTTACTATTATTTAACTAATTTAATTATTTTTAATATTACTTATAATTTTTCAATATTAATTATTAATAAATTTGATTTTTAACAAAATTTAATATAATTAAATTTATAGATATATTATTAGAAACAATTGTAAAATGTACTATATCAAACTTTGCATGGACAAAAATATATAAACACTTAACCATGACTTTATTTGCAATATTCAATTATGTGTAATATTCTATTTATATATTCATGGATGTAGCTTTATAATTCTTCAAACATTCAGATATATTGGATAGCGATAATGAGCTCATAGTTTGCTCTAAAAGAAATATTATCTCTATACTAAAATCTTCTCTTTTATTTTATTGAATTCAAAACCACATAGAATACTTTCTTGGCTTGAGATGCAAAAATAAATGGGTCATCACAAATATCATTTCCAGTATGTTGCAAATAATTGAAATTTACTAATGACATGCCTAAATTGCCAATTTTGCAACCCCTATTTATGTCAACCCAATCGCACCTAAAAAGTACAACCTTATATCTTCCCGAGTAATCCAATTGAATTATATCTGTCAATGCACCATAGTAGTTTATTTCCCCTTCCTTAGGTTGCTTATCTCTTGTGCTAGCATAACTTCTTGCCTTAACAGTAACAACAATGCCACTGTTTTGAGTCTTTAAGCATCTTTCACGTTTCTTTGTATGCTGTCACTATAGCCTTAATTTTGATTTATTGTATTTGGTTCATTGCCTGTAGGTAAAAGTTGTTGATATGTACTTACAATTCCTAGCTGTAGGTAATTTGTTTATTATTTTAAAAGATTATTTTATACCTACAATCTCTATTTATCATTTACTATTATTTAACTAATTTAATTATTTTTAATATTACTTACAATTTTTCAATATTAATTATTAATAAATTTGATTTTTAACAAAATTTAATATAATTAAATTTATAGATATATTATTAGAAACAATTGTAAAATGTACTATATCAAACTTTGCATGGACAAAAATATATAAACACTTAACCATGACTTTATTTGCAATATTCAATTATATGTGTAATATTCTATTTATATATTCATGGATGTAGCTTTATAATTCTTCAAACATTCAGATATATTGGATAGCGATAATGAGCTCATAGTTTGCTCTAAAAGAAATATTATCTCTATACTAAAATCTTCTCTTTTATTTTATTGAATTCAAAACCACAAAAGCACCAAATAAGTTTTCTATCCTTATTGCCACAAAGGTCTTTAGTCATAGAAGTATTTTCTATGCTTCAAAGTTTCAACAAGAAGTCCAACAGTGTTCGATTAGTGTATAATTTTGTACCTGCAAATTCAACAAGTAAATATTAAATTAAAGTATGAAAATTCAAATAAAAATATTTTTACAACAATACAATCTAAAAATTTTCAACAATCATTTTCCAATCTCCACAAGAAAAATTAGTTAGGGAGGGAGGGACATATGAGCCAACAGAAGCTGACATAGCAGCGAACCGAAAACTTGGTTATGGCTTAGTGACTAACATAATCAATGGTGGACTTGAATGTGGTATTCCTGGTGATGCACGAGTGAATGATCGATCGCATTGGGTTTTTTCAAAGATATACAAAGTTGTTGAACGTGGACACTGGACCTAACTTGGATTGTGCAAATCAGAAACCCT